TGACTTTATATCTCGCAATTCTGACTTTATATCTCGCAATTCTGACTTTATAACTCGCAATTGCGAGTTATAAAGTCAGAATTGTGAGATAAAAAGTCGCAATTACCTCTTTTATTTTTTATTCAGTGGCGGAAACGGGCTTCCATAGAAGGCTGCATCCTACGAAGGCTGCCCACATTTAAATTCACGAAAATAAACGGAAAGAAAACGAGTCGGTACTGAGATCATCTGAATTTTAGGATCCAGCCTTCCGTTTGAGAAGCACCATTCACCTCCCTCATGCTCGCTAAAAGCCGTGATTACAGATTAGAGTTGTGAGATAAAAGATTATTTTCATTTTTATATTTTTATTACCATTCGCCTCCCTCATGCTCGCTAAAAGTGATTAGAAGTTATAAAAAAAAAACGATTCAGATGTTATTTTATGGTGGACCTGGCTTGTCCACAATTTTGAGCGCTGCACGACAGAATAGATCATGACGTGATCAAGGGTCTTGATCTTATTTCCATCTAAAATACTTTTAATTTTTTATTTAAACATTTCTATCAGCCAATGATAATTATAAAAGAAAACGTCACAAGCATAGATCAGTGGCTGAGAGTGCATCTGATTGACAGATAGGCCTAAACCACGAGCTCTATCTGTTACTGTTAATGTTCTGGTTATTTTGTTTCAGTGTACAGTTTGTTAATTTTGTGCAAAGCATACAGTCAAAGTAAACTTCATCATTCAGCTTAACTGTGCACATTTATTTTAGACACTTCGTGTCATGTTCAATTCATGCGATAAACACATGTCCCTGCTGAGCTGTGGACTATGACTAATTTCACGGGCAAAGCAGACAAAATTACAATTTATGTATAGTATTTTATTTTTTTTTTTTACAAATAAAGCTCCATATTATGAGAAGGGTACTTTCTACAACCTTTATCCTGCAGTCATGGTGAGATTATAGATTCCTTCAATCTAAAAAAACAAGAATCGAGAAAGAATCGAAAACAACAGTGAGGAATCGATTCCAGAACCAGGAATCGGAATCGGACTCGATTCCAAAAATTTCGGAATCGAACAGCCCTACTAAAATCTGCTTCATTGTATGTAGTTTTTTTAAATCTAGATTATTGTGTACATGATTTTACAAATGTATCTTTTATGTTTAGCTCTGTGGAAGGAGCTGCTCCAAGCAGGTGGTGCTCAGCTGGGCCCTAAGCTGGATTTGAGCTCTCTAGCTAAAGTAACAGATGGTTACACTCAGGGACACATCCTTCAGGAGATCCAAATTGTCCTAAACTCTCACCGCCTCAACCAGCAGACCAAGAGACCCCTCACTGCGGTGGAGTTCATCCCCCCTCTTGCAAGACAAGACCCTGTCTACAATAATTTTGCAGAGAATACAAGAAGATTTAAATTGGTTGTATAACGGAGTGAACGTTAAAACTGCGCACGGAGAGAGAACAATATATGGTGCAGTAGTTTCTCTGATTCTTCATTGTATTGCTTTGAATGTCAGGTTTATAACACAGTGGGTTTCAGTCATGAGTTTGCTTCTTATGAAATCGAGGTCCCAAACCTTGCTCAAGCCACTGAAATAGTGGATGCAGATAAAATTGTAGATTGTACATCACATTATGCACTCAAATTTTAAGAACTGTACTTATATTCCTATGAAGTATTATCACGGAGATGTGTGTGCGATTTACAAGTGCACCACTGACTGCTAATTTACTGGAGAACTGATGCATTGCTCTCCACGCCCAGTCCTTTTTGAGAAATTTTACCATGTTTGTGCTGCCCTTTCAGAGTTTTTCACGGTTGAAAAGGTTTTCTTCCCCACATAGGCTAATTGACAACGCACAATAATGTTCTTGCGTTCGATATTTTATATATTTCCAGCTACAGAACGCGTACTTTTCTCTCTCCATGCTGAGTTTGTTTTCATTGGTAGTATCTGCCTCGCAGGCACTTAACCAGTCAAAGTAGGTCTCAGGTAGAGGATACTGCATGTGCTTCACTCTCTAAGGCCCTGTCTTCACGAACGTGGTTATTTTTAAAACCACAGCTTTTTCAGCACCAGTTCACTGAAACCGAACATTTTTGAAAACGCCTGCCAGGGTGAAGATTCCCAAAAACTCCGGTTGCAGTGTTATTGTGTAGACAACGAAACCGGAATTTTGGCTTGTGACATCGGAGCATGCGCTGTTATCTCCGCCTACTGGAAACTTTTTCAGGCTTCTGATTGGCCAACATGGCTTTACGGTTGAGATTATATCACCACCTGTTGGTTTGGCATGCTCTTGACAGTGCTTCATAGCATGCGTTTGCGTTTTCATGTGGACGGAGATTTTTTTTTAAACGGGAGGAAAAACTATAAAATTTATAAAAATACCCGTGTACGTGTGGACATGGCCTAAATGATAAAACACTGCCTTCTGGCGGAAATGATGTGACACAGCAGTAACGCACAGAGACCTCAGCTTGGAACTATAATCGAATTACTATTTTGGAAATTATAACGTGTTAAATTACTCCATTGCTAAAAAAGTAATCAAATTAGAGTAACACCTTACTAAGTAATGCATTACTGCCCAACACTAGTAATGGCTGTAAGACTCGCCTCTGGAGTCAAGGTTGCATGGCTTTTGAAGGGGTGTCTCTGAACAGTCGATCACACATGTTGTTTTTGGGAAAAAGTGAGGCATTGTTGCCTGGATTGTCTCCCTGGGAAGCCATGGTATGTAATCCCTCATGTTCTCCTCCATGATGACAAGCCAACACGAAATCACCTTGCTTACAATGGACTGAGAAACACCAAACCTTTCAGCAAGATCACCCTGCAATAAATTAAGACGCAGCTTCATCATCAGAATCATCAGGAGCTGATCCCAAGTTTGTAGCTGGAAGCTGTTGATGTATGTATTGGTCAGCGCCGTTTCTAGCCAATTTGATGCCCTAGCCGAAATCCCTATTGGCGATTCCCTTTACAGTTACTGCTATCATAAGAATACACCTGTATGTAGGTTTAAAATTCTACAAAAGGCACATTTAATGTCCAACAACGAATGTTTTTTTTTTTGTAAAGCTTTTATTTGGTTCATCTAAGGTCAAACAGAAAGTAACAATAACATAAATATAGTAATATACTATAAATAATAGATATACACATATCTACATATAACATACAACCATACATTAATTAACAACAAATATTTTAGCAAAATACATATTTGACTCAGAATTATTGCGCTCCGTCTGTTTAGCGTGCATGTGCACAACAGCATGGAATATGCAGCAAAATGGATATATTTGCATGACTTTCTAACATTTACAGAGGAAAAATATACCTGTGAAATGTCAGTTATGCACTGCGGAAAACACAACGTCTCAAATGCATTAAACAGCACAAATATATTTTGGTAGATCGATTTGATCCATGATCGACATTAAGGGCTGCTTAAGATTAAGCGTCCACAAATTAGTTAGATTGTGTGAACTTACATTGTCGTTTATGGAAATTCTTTTGATTTGTTAGGTTATTTCAAGTCAGATTTTGGACTTTAATCCCCACTTTTCCTCAGGTCTCCGTGGCAGTGATGACAGAACGCGCTTGAGAAACAGTTTCGAGGAGAAATCAATCTACATGTAAAATATTGGTCACAGATTATTGGTCACTTTCTAAACAATAAAAGTATAGCACATCCACTAGTAAATATATATAAATAAATTGATGTTTACCGATGCAAATATGTTAGAAACGAAGCATCGCTTTACAAATGCCAACTTGTATCCGTTGCACACTTTTTTAAATCGATGCATCGCATCGTTAACTTTTTTTGCCAATGCAACGAGTGAATCTGTGAATCCTTCTATCCCTGTGGAGCAGACAAGGTCAGGCCATTGGCCGACATTCCTGCCAAATAAATCATTTTTTACCGATGCAAATATGTTAGAAACGATGCATCACGATACAAATGACAACTTGTATCCGATGCATCGCATCGTTAACTTTTTTTGCCGATGCACCGAGCGAATCGGTGAAACTTCCCATCCCTAATTCTTATTATTTGCTAAGAACTGTGGTTATTTTTTTTTACTGCCATTATTCACATTCCCCCACTGCACAGCACAAATGATGGACTCGGAACAAGCAGGTGTGTTACTGGGCGCTGTTTGAATTTATTTACGTCTAATGCAAAATATTTTTGTATGGTTGTATTCCATGCTTTTTTATTGCATACCATCACCATAGAAATGTGATGGTAATTCGTTTGCCTATGCTACCGTCGCGTTCTACGTGCCGTTTCTGGATGAGGGTAAGGAACAGAGATTGGTGGTAGCGAGTTGTGTTTTCCCGAGAAATGCGATGCTTTCTTCACTGCCATTTCTAATCTGCATATTATGTCACGTCATTCATGTACGTCACGAGCACATGTTTAAGGTGTTTACAAGCCTGTTTATTTAGATTAAAACAGGCGTACACCACCTATGTTAATACGATTATGCTTGCTGCGATTATGAGCATAATCGCATTATTTAGATCGAAGTATTGCATTTACATGAGGTAAAATTAAATCGCAATATTGTCAAAATCTCATTATAATCGCATTACCGATTTTCTTCTTGTAAGAGAAAATGATGGTTCTGTTAAACACAGATGCAATGAGCAATACATGGAGTTGCAGTTATATACACCAGTTTGGGTCAATTAAAAATGAACATCTTTAACACTGTGATTTAACACCGTCACCAAGATGTAGACAACACCAGCAGTGCTATTTTATACACTTATAATGTTAAAATAACACCAACACTGTGTATTTTACACTGTCTTTGGAAATATAACAGTAATGATTTTGCTGTGTACGGATCAAATTAATTCAGGTCTATAGCCCCCCTTCAATCCAATCGAAATTGCATTTGGATCGAGCTTAGTCAGACTGATTGAGGCGTTTATGGCTTTTCATGGATTACTAATGGATTATTTGGGTAAACGCAGCTAGTGATGGCACACTTCTCTCCAGTTATTACATGATGCATAAGGTTTTACTGTCTGTAAAAATGATTCCATACTGACAACATCTAAAACTCCTCTCTCTTGAAGTGAATCTTCACATGTTGATTAAGGTTTACTTTACGTCCGAAACTCTTTCCACACCGATCACACGTGAACGGCTTCTCTCCCGTGTGAACGACCATGTGACTCTTAAGAGATCCTTGTCGTGAGAAGCTCTTCGCACACAGTTTGCAGTTGTAAGGTTTCTCTCCAGTGTGAATTCTCATGTGCTTTGTAAGGTTCCCGTTGTGACTGAAACTCTTAACACACTGAGAGCATGCGTAAGGCTTCTCTCCAGTGTGAACTCTCATGTGAGTCTTGAAGCTTACTTTATGACTGAAACTCTTTCCACACTGATCACATATATAGCCATTCTCTCCTAAGTGATTTTTCATGTGAGAATTTAGGGTTTCTTTTAGTGCAAAACTCTTTCCACACTGATCACATGTGAATGGCTTTTCTCCAGTGTGAATTCTCGTGTGTTTTAAAAAGCTCCACTTCTGAGTGAAATGTTTTCCACACTGTTGGCAGGTGAAAGGCTTCTCTCCAGTGTGAATTCTCATGTGTTTTAAAAAGCTCCACTTTTGAGTGAAATGTTTTCCACACTGTTGGCAGGTGAAAGGCTTCTCTCCAGTGTGAATTCTCGTGTGGGTTATGAGGTGCCCGCTTTGACTGAAACTCTTTGCACACTGTTGGCAGGTGAAAGGCTTCTCTCCGGTGTGGATTCTCATGTGACTTATAAAGTTACCTTTGTGACGGAAATTCTTTCCACACTGTTGGCAGGTGAAAGGCTTCTCTCCGGTGTGGATTCTCATGTGACTTATAAAGTTACCTTTGTGACGGAAATTCTTTCCACACTGTTGGCAGGTGAAAGGCTTCTCTCCGGTGTGGATTCTCATGTGACTTATAAAGTTACCTTTGTGACAGAAATTCTTTCCACACTGAGGGCAGGTGAAAGGCTTCTCTCCAATGTGAATTCTCATGTGTTCATCAAGGACTTTTTTTCCACAGCAACTCTTTACACACTGATGGCAGGTGTTAGATTTGGTGTTCTGGGCTCTTTTTCGTGATGAAGTCTTTTTAGTCTTTATGGATTTTTTTCTAGTTATAGAATTACTACGTTCCACATACTGATCCTTCTCCTCGATTTCATCCGATTCTTGTCTCTCCTCTTTCAATGACAATAGGTCTACAGTGGGAAAAATAAAAATAAATACATGTTAACCTCACACTGTAAAAAGTGACAGTAACATACTGTTTTCCATTAAAATTGTACCATACCATAAAAAAACAAAGCATTCTGGGAAATTTTTACCAATTCCATTTACTGCTTTTTTCTTTGTTGTAAGGGAAACCGGTAAATTTAACTTAAAGGGAATTAATTATTACATTTATAGTGAATTTTGACAGAAACATTGGGTCTCCGTGACGAGTGAGGGCGGGGCCGAGAGCCGTGGGAATGGAGCGAGGCCGGTGGAGCAAATGCTAATGCATGACACCTGCGCCACTCACCGGTCTCGAGTCCCACGGAGGAGCTCCGGAAGGATAAAAGGAGGAGTGACGACAGTG